TTTGTAATGAACTTAAAGTGCTACCTAAGGAATATTACTAGGGAATTAAAATTTTGTGTAATGAATTTAGAATTCTAGCATATACGTTCAAATATAGGTTTTTAACTCCTCTTTCTAAATGAGGAAATGTATGTATCCCTCTTCTTAAATACGTATATAAATATTGGTAGAAAATAAGGTGACTCTTACATCGTAGTGTCATTTTTCATCCAAAGGTATTAAAGCCCTTGAAAAATGTCATTAACCCCATCTGTGCTTAGGCTGTGAAGCCAAAAAAGCCATTAATCCCCTGAGGAGAGGCAGTGATAAAATGTCTACTGTAGACCATACCCGAGACTGGGAGAGAAGAATTAATTTGTCCAAGGTCACCCAAAGTCTGTAGATGAACCTGGAGATAGGAGTGAAGGCTCTTCACAACAGCCACATTCATTTGGGATCATGAGTCTATCACCATCTGCAGAATTGACGGGGGACCTGCCCTGCCTTGCTCCTCAGAGGCGTCCGCCTTCCATCACCCCTCACCGCACGGCTTGCTTTCGTCAGGGCCCCAGACAGGGCTCTCTAGAATGCAGGCAGCCCCACTCATGGCTGGGGGCCTGCCCCACACAATGTTCGGACTCACTGGTTGGCGTCAGGTGGCTTGTCATCCAAATTCTGGGTACTTCCGGTGCCCTGCTGCACCTCCCGGGAGCTGACCTCTGGGCCCAGGCTCCTCTTTTGGATTCCTGGTCCCTGGCATTGACCCGGATTCTGACCTCCCTCAGCTTTCAGGGGAGCCTGCCCACCCAGGCTTGTGCTGCAGGCCACGGTACCGCCTCAACCACGGCCTTGTCCCGGCTTCAACCCGCAGTTTCGCCCACTTATACCCTGTGGTGGCTTGTGATGTTGTGTCCTGTATGATGTAGGGTTAGAGTTGAGCGCTGTGGTTCACATCCCTTCTCCAACACTGATACCCAGTAGAGACCCTCTCTGTGTCTCAGCTTCCTCATCCGTAAGATGGGGTAGTAAGACCTGTATCAAAAAGCTGTTTGGAGGAGGAGGAGGAGGAGGATGGTGAGTGTGTGTGTGTGTGTGTGTGTGTGTGTGTGTGTGTGTGTGTGTATGTGTCCACCACTTAAAACAGTGCCAGACCCTACCTGATGTGACAGCAAGAAATATTTTAGGCAGCCTTTTGAGCTGAACCTAAACAAATCAAAGTAAGAAGAGGAACCATAGGGCTTACTGCTTTTATCAGTGAGATTTCTTTTATGGTATAAGTTGACTTCACGTGAAATAGATGAAGGTGATGATGAAAAGAGTAGTAGGTGACAACTATTGAGCATTTTCTTCAGGCAGATGCCATGCTCAGCAGTATATTACCTAATGAAACTCCCACAACAACCCTGTGCTGCAGGTCTTGCAATTACCATTCCTGTTTTACAGATGAGAAACTGAGGCCTGAGCTAGTAAGTGGTGGGGGCAGAATTCAAACACAGGACCGGCTTCCGGCCGAGTCCACTGACGGGCACATCCTGATCAGTTCATTTATTCAAAAGACCAAGGGGGTGGCGGTTGGTGGTGACCAGGTACAGGATGCCATTTTACTTCCCTTTCTTCTGAAAAGATTCAATAGATGTGAAGGATTTTGAGGAGGTTTTATCGTCTTTTCATGAAGGATTTATAAACTAGGCATTACGGGCGTGGATTGCAAGTGTTCTAACGTATTGTGACTTAACAAATAAAACCTGTGTCAAAGGGTAACTTGGATTTGTCTTTTCCCGGCTAGGGTAGGAGCTGTCTGCGGGGTAGATGCATTAGTAACAAATCTCTTTCCTATCTGAATAGCAATTCAGTTGACTTCTAAAACTTTGACAGTGAACCCATTTTGACTGATATTGATAGCGTAAGAAATGTGTGGCAGCAGAGATACTAAAACGAACCATGTGTTTCTTCCTAGGAAGAGCTGAGGCTTTTCAGGAGGGGAAACTGGAGACAGAATTCTAAATGTCCTGTCAGTTCGTTCATTTAGTCTAATTTTCTTTCTCAGAGGGGAAATTGCTCAAGACCGTTTTGGATCCATTCAGTTCACTTAATTCGACCATTCTTGGATGTTTTCTTCTTACAGTTTACAAATTGAGCCATTCGAAATGGTTAATCGTGTCCGATCTGTTGTTTTCAGCCAGTTGGAGCTGCGGTGTTTAATAGCAAATGGAAAGATGTGTCATTTTGGTCGATTCTCTTTGGTTTCACAAAGAGATGTGGTGGGATGTCCAGTTGGTTTCCAGGGTTAAGTTATTCATTCGGGAAATACTGAGTTCAGGGTTTTTTTTTGTTTTGTTTTTTAATCTTTCAGTTTATTGTTAAAGGTGACTCTTGTCATGAGTGTCATGGTACTTTCACCTGGTGCGTGTTTCTTTTTTTTTCAATATATGAACTTTATTGTCACATTGGTGTCCATAACAACAATCTAGCCACACAACATCCTGTGTCTCTCTCCTCACCCACCTTCCCCCCCCCTTCCTCTCCACCCCCTCCCCCATGCATCAAACCTCAGTTGTCTTTCAGTGTTTAAGAGTCTCTTATGGTTTGCCTCCTTCCCTCTCTATAACTTTTTTCCCTTCCCTCCCTAGTCTGTTGGGCTGAGTCAGGATCCATGAGTGGAAAAATGGTATCTGTCTTTCTCTGTATGGTTTATTTCACCACAGTACACTGCTCCATCCATGCTTAAGCACAGCGGCTGTACTTAATTCTTTCTCATTGCTTTGTAGTACTCCATTGTGTATATAAACCACATTTTTTTATCCATTCACTTGATGGACATTTAGGCTCTTCCACACAATTTGGCTATTGTTGAGTGTGCTGCTAGTACAGTGTCTCATGCATCAGCACCCTGTATCCCTTTGGTAAATTCCTAGCAGTGTTGTTGGGCTTGCAGTGGGTGGTAGGTCTATTTTTAATTTTTTGAGGAACTTCCACACTGTTTTCCAGAGTGGCTTCCTGGTGCATGTTTCTTGAAGAAACACCTCTGGAGGAAGACAGGGTGTGCATCATCACGTAGGTGTAAGAAATGAACATTGGAAAGAACTCAGAAGACCGACCTGGGTTTTCATCCTGGTTCTGTGGCTCTGTTGTCTCATTTCTAAAAGGGGAGCATTGGATTGGATCATCTCTAATGCTCTCTTTTTTAAAAAATTATGGAAGGGGCATGGGTGGCTCAGTCAGTTAAGCGTCCGACTCTTGGTTTCAGTTCAGGTCCTGTACTCACGGTTCGTGCGATTGAGCCCCAAGTTGGGCTCGGCACTGACAGCGTGGGGCCTGCTTGGAATTCTCTCTCTCTCCTCCTTTCTCTGTCCCTCCCTTGCTTTCTGTCTCTCTCAAAAGTAAATAAACATTAAAAATTATGGCAAAATACATCTAACGTAAAAATTTACGATCTTAACCATTTCTAAGTATACAGCTGAGTATCGTGGAGTGTATTCATGGTGTTCGTGCAAACGCCCTTCAGGTCTCTTTTCACCTCACGAAACTGAAACCGTCCCCATTAAACAGCTCTCTGTTCTCCTCCCCCGGCCCCTGGCAACCACCCTTCTACTGTTCGTTTCCATGAATCGGGCTACGCCGTAAGTGGAATCGTACAGTACTTGGCTTTTTTGTGTCTGGCTTATGTCACGTAGCATGATGTCCTCAAGGCACATTGGTGTTGTAGCATGTGACGGAACTCCCTTCCTTTCTGAAGCTGGATAATATTCCGTGGTGCGTCTACGCCATATTTTCTTTACCCACTCCAGTGCTACTTTTAGATCGAAACTTTCGAATTTTCGGTGATCCTCAGCTGCCAGCCAAAGCTGTGGAGCAGGCAGTGTGGCCGAGGGGTGGGCAGCAGGTTAAGGGTGAAAGCCGGGTAGCATGTCTGGTTCTCAGGCGGGTGCTGCTTCTCCAGGGGCGGGCTGTTGTCCTGGCCAACGGTGGCATTGAGAGCGTGTGGAAGATGCAGTGAGTCTATACCTGCTGGCTTATGATAACCCGGCTTTGGTTCAGCACAGGTAGAGAAATGGCTTAAGTGTTCCAGCACTTTTTAGGTTTTTTTTTTTCCCCCCAAAACGTCTGTATTTTATCAAGATTAAGTGATGTGTCACTGGATCCCGAGGCATAACAAATGAGTCCATAATAAGTATGGGGTTCTTCTCCACTCAGTGGTATTTCTATTCTTGAGACAAAGATCATTTCAGGAAATGCTGCCAAAGGTAGACACTCTCCTGTGTTTTGCTCTCTCTCCTCCCTGTCTCTTGTCATGGTCCCTTTGGCGTTTTGAGAGGATACATCTCTGTGTGGCTGTATCTTGGCTTTTAAACTGTTCCCAGTTTTGTTGGCAAAGGCTTACAAGTACGTTTCTCGTTGCAGTCTGTGAAGAAAATTGAAGGATGTCTGCCGCTGTCCAATTGTTATAATTATGGCAAATGGCAGTCGAAAGCAGAAAAGGCAATTAGAGAGAAAATTCCTTCCTGTCTGCTGGAGAAGACAAGGAAAATGGCAGATTTAGCCGCTTACGCTTTGCACTTTGTCAGAGAAATATTGTTTTTAATGTTTATTTGAGAGAGAGAGAGAGAGAAAAAGTGTGTGTGTGTGTGTGTGTGTGTGTGTGTGTGTGTGTTGGGGGAGCAGGGGAGGGGCAGAGAAAGTGGGAGAAAGAATCCCAAGCACGCTCCCCGCTGTCAGCGCGGAGCCTGATGTGGGGCTCCATTTCATGAGCCATGAGATCATGACCTGAGTTGAAATCAAGAGTCCGACACTTAACCGACTGAGCCACCCAGGAGCCCCATCAGAGAAATCTTTCAGGAACCCCTCCCCTGATCTACCCGGGATCAGGAACAGGTATTTCTTTGCTCACGTCCGGATTTCTATGTCCAGAGCTCTGCTCTAAGAAGCCCCTTCTGTGCTCCTGAAGTCTCGTGAACCAAAGGCTGAGTGCCCCCTGGGGCCTTGCTTAGGCCCCCAGTGCTGCTCCTCAGGTGGGAGAGAACATGGCGGTGATGTTCTGGATGACAGTACGTCTGAGCCCACGAGATGATAAATACCATAATTAGTGGAGGTCCTCTTCATGGGAAACACACACTGGCGGCATCGATACGGTCTCTGTTTGGTTTGCCATGCTTTTGAGTTTACGGGGTTTTAAGTGAACTCTCCCAAGACCAGTGGGAACCAGTTAAGTGTTAGCTCCATTTTACACAGGAGGCAAGAGGCCCAGTAACCTGCCCAAAATCACGTAGGAAAGGGGTAGCCCCGTAGGAGGCTCCCACCAGGATGCAGAAGTACGTCGTTGCTGTCCCCTCCCTCCTAAGTTTTCGTCTGTTTCGTTAGGGAGCATTGTCAAGCTCTCGTCGTCCGCGTCGTCCCCAAATGTTGCTGCGTGCCGTTCATATGTATTTGGTGTTTTGCTAGCTATGGTATACGACGAGACTTACCTGACTTACCTTCTTCTCTTTTGTCTAAAATACAGAATTTGGAGAAAGGTGGTATCTCAAGGAAGAGTGACGTAGGTAAGTAATGATTTTTTTTTTTTTTTAACTTATGAGTATGTGCCCAGGTACGTTTCTTATAAATTATATTTCAGTGAAGTGAATTTCTCCTTCTGATTTTATTTATGAGGTGAAGATCGCTGTGCAAATGTTCTGGTCTCTCCCGAAGACACGGGGAGAACACTTTTCAGATTGACATAGTGGCTCGTGATTTGTATTGGAAACAACAGCTCGTATGTTAGATTTGATGTCCTTGGCCACCATTTGGTGAGTTTCCAATGAGGGCAGATGGCTATGCGTGGTGGCGGCTGTGGGGGCCGCAGAGGTGAGCAGGGCGCAGTGTCTGATGTGAGAGGCCCGCTGACCTCGGCCTGGAGCCAGAGTCACTTGTTGATGTCACTTCTGTCAAACCCATCCCGAGGACCCTGGTGCAGAAGCAGCGACTTGTGACTTTGTGGACACCCCTGCACTTCCATCCCGGCCCGTGTTCACCCTATTTTGTCCTCCCTTTCAGGACAAGTCTGAATGTTGGATCTCTTCCCAAAGGGTGTGAACTTTGTCGACGTCAGTCATCCCAGGGTAGGCCATGGAGACCTACAAGGTGGGCCTTGGACAGGAGGGGAAGGGTACACTTTCCTCTCTAGGCCTGCCTTGTGTGGGGCTGGGCTCTGCAGGGTCTAGATGGCAGGAGAGGCTCCCCAGGTGGAAGGGGCAGGATGGCCTGTACTGGGGCCTAGGCATGCAGGGGACCACGGGGGCATGGGTCGGAGACTTCAGCTCTGAGACTGCGTATTTAAGGAGTGACATTGGGTCACTGCCTTTTCTTTTTTGTATTACGACACCCTGTATGGCTCAGCCACTCCTCCCCACGTGGAGATGTTCTGTCAGCTGTCAACCCTTGTGGGTTGGGCATTTGTTTATTCCATGGGAGCTGATAGGGCTCCTTATAGAAAATGGTTATTAAATGAACTAATGATGCTAGTCTGGAACATGGGCTTGAAAGTGCCAAGGGGAAGTTGCCTGGATAAGTAAGTCAACATCCTTGCTATGACAAGTGGTCAAATCTAGTGATACGTACCTTGGTATCAGCATGTCCGAACAAGACCCAGGAGGCTTATTTGCCCACAGGGTTAACATGGGTCTGCAGGCCCCGGGTGGGGGGCCTACAAAAGCAGCCCTCCCAGAAGGATCAGAGTCGCGGCAGACTCCCAGGGCAAGGAGGCCTGCTTTCTGTTTGGGCTCACTGCCTCATCAGTAGATTCATGGGTGAACGTCATTCTCACCAAGTAAAACACAATTGGAGTGGCTCTGTGTGTGTGTGTGTGCGCGCGCGCGCGCGCGCGCGTGTGCGTGCGCGTGCGTATTTAAGGTCTCTAGTGCTTTCGCTTTTATCAGAAGAACCCCACGCTATTTCCTGTCACCATGAAATCCGTGTTTCTAGATGACGTCTGACCAGGAAAGACTGGCGCTTAGTAGAGCGGTTGGCACGTGATAGGTGCTCAGCAGCTGAAGAATAGAGAACCTTTGTTTGCTTTTTCTTCGAAGAATGATTGTTTCTCCCTCAGGGATCTTCTCTGACCACCTCCTTGGTTCTGTCACCTTTCCTTAATGCTCTGCAGCTCACCCTTGGTCTCAGAACCACAATGGTCCTTTCCTAGCCTTGACTGACTTCCTTTTCTTCCTTTCTAGACCACTATGCCCCTCATTATTGTCAGGCATTTGGCATACAACCCATTTCTTCTACCTTCCTGGAGGAGAGCAAGGGCAATCCGTCTTGAGTTGTGACAGTGTTTGCTGATGGCAGTGACTTCAGAGAGGTTCAAGGGAAGTGATAAGGAACTAGTAGGATTGTCTTATTTAGCTCCACTGACTGGGCAGTGGGAGCTCAGGAGTCAGAGAGTGGGGGCAGCACAGGCAGAGAAGACCGCGGCCAAGGTGGGCCCTGGGGTCTGGACTCAGCCAGAATGTGACCCAGTGTGGGGGGCTTAGGATCTCTGTCAAGCAAAATATTTCTTGCAGCTGCTGTAAAGAACATCAGTAAATTAAGTGTACAAGTGATTTTCAGCACCTAACTGTGCTAGCCTGTTTGTTTGTTTGTTTTTCCTGGAATGGAGGTGGGGCTGAATGGCATGTCATTGATTTTCTGTCATTCATTATTAACAGGGCTTTAGGAACTGGGTTGGGTAGACCCTTACTTTTTTGTCTCCTCACTAGTAACTGCCCCATGTGCATCCGACTTCCTAGCCATACCTGTTACTGTGTTCAGGGCCATAATTCCCCTTGCTGTCCCCAACCTTCACTGTTCCCTCTGTCGGGAAGGTCCTCCCATCCCTTCTTGGGGCATCCCCAGGACACAGTGTCCCTGTCCCTTCTTCTGGGAAGGCCCCACTCTCTGGGATCCCGGATGGCTCTGTGGCCCTTCCCCAGTTTGAAAGCTGTTAATCTCTAGCTCCACCCTCTTAGTGTGGCGCTTGAGATATGGCTGAGCCAGCCTCCCTCTCTAGACCCAGCTTCCCTCTCTAACTTTATCGTGGACTGTTCCCTTCATCTTTTTCTCAGAAATGCTTGACAGATTCACCTACTCCTGATGCTGTAGAGATAAGGCAGGCCGTGGGCTCTGTGATAACCCCACTTGCTTCTCTGCCACTGGTCTGCTGCCCTCTGTGCCCGAGTCTGCATAAAATTGCTGCATTTTATTTATTTATTTTAAATTTAAAAACAGTTTTTAAAATTATTTTCTTATTTTGAGAAAGAGTGCAAGTGGGGGCGGGAGGGGGGTGGGGAGAGAGAGAGAGAGAGAGAGAGAGAGAGAGAGAGAGAGAGAGAATCCCAAGCAGTTTCCAGACGGTCAGTGCACAGAGCCTGACACGGGGCTTGAACCCGTGAAACTGTCAGATCATGACTTGAGCTGAAGTTGGATGGTTAACCAACTGAGCCACCCAGGTGCTCTGAAAATTGCTGCATTTTAAAGGGAACTCAGGAAAGGCCCCTTTCCAGGAGCTCTGCTTGCACATGTCCCCCCCTCTGTGCTCCCTCAGTTTTGCACTTGGCTCCATATTGGAATGGCTGCCTTCTGCACTAGACTCAGTCCCTGATGTGATGGGGCTGTGCTTGCTCACCCCTGTGTGCCAGAGCCTCGCACTCAGTACAGGCTTCGAGATGTTTGCTGGGTGAGTGCACCTAGCGTGCGTGATCAAGGCATGAGCAAAAGGAAGGTGATGATTTCTTAGATGCAGAAAAAACAAATACAGCTCATAGCACATGACTCGGGCATAAGCAGAGGGGAATAACTCACTTTTCTTCTTCTTGCAAAGCCTCTTCTCCACATGGAGGAACTGTTGTCTTTGTGGGAACAGTGGGAGTTTTGCTGATCTGGTAGAAGAAATGGCAGGAGTTGATTACTGCAGGATTAACGTTTTGGCAGATGGATTTGCTCTTTTAAAACCTCTGTTATGAATTATTGTGAACATACAGGAAGCTACAAAGAGTAATACAATGATATCCAGGTAGTTACCGCCTAGTTTAAGGAATAAAATACTCCTAACACAGCTGAAGCTTTTTTACTATTATCTCGATATGGTGTTTATAGCATTCTCATGTAATCTTTTATATTTTTACATCATACGTGATATATATGCATTCATATAGTATATATCCATCTTCTATATATTTGTGTGTATCTTTTCACAAATGATTGATTTATATAGTTGTGCCTTTGTGGCTTTTTTTTTTTTTTTCCAGTCTATACGACTCATCTATAATATCCATCCGGATCGATGCAGTTTTTATTGCTGTATAGTATTCTAATTTGTGTATCTTGTTAGCGGGTTTTGAGTTGCCTCAAATTTTTTCCTTTTACACCGTCCTGCTGTGAGCTCTCCTGTCCTATATCCTTGTTTTGACACATATGCAAGTTTCTCAAGGATGATTAGTAGGAGTGGAGTTTCTGGGTCATTGGGAATGTGCATCTTCAGCCCTATTAAACTTTGCAAAAATCATTCTCTGAAGTTTATTCCATTTGTAACAAAAGCAAGTTTTTATCACCCCTTTTTTGATATGTCACTTACATTAATGTTTCAGATGTAGTAGATTGAAAATTACATTTCAGTTGAAATATAAGACACCCGTTTAAGGCTTATCTGTGTGTCCTATTTATAGAGCCAAGAAGCTGATTTGAAATAGAGGTAGGTATGTGGAATGTTCATATGTATATAAATTCCTAAAGGAAAAGAATTAGGTCATGTTCAGTAGGTTGTTGAGCATTTCCTTTTAAATTTTTTATTGAGTCTTAACCAAATAGCATTTTGGCTTATTTTTAGGATCTAGATGGCTCATTGTGGAGCTATTTGTTGTATGAATATCGGAGTGAGTGAATAAATGAGTGGAACTATAGAACTGAACAGAAGAGCAATAAAATATAATGGAATAAAATTAAAACCAGATTATGTCCCTGAGTCGAGCTGTTAAAGGGAAAGGCACATGGCGGGGGTCAGGTCACCACGTTCGTTGCTGTAAACCTGGCTGGAGGCAGCGGTTTACGTGAAGTCTGCCTTCTGCCAACACACGATGGCCGTTTCTATGTGTTGCTTTATTGCAAGCTCAGAACCTCATGTGCTTCTCCGCCGTGGGGACTGAGCAACCCTCTTCACTGGCAAGACCTCCGATAGTCGTCCCTGGTCAGGTGGGCCTAGCATGCGAGGTTTCCTACTTTGCTAGCCGTTGCAAGAAAGTTGGCCGCCCTGAGGTGAGTCTCTAGACGGCTGGCAAATATTTCCAGTGTTGTTGGAGACGGACTTTTATGCCACACTTCTTGCTAACGCCCTGCTGCTGTGGAATTGTGGCTGTTTTCCTGGAGATAACACTTCATTCGGGCTAGGTGCCTCGTGAAGCAGGGTAGAGATTATTGAGTTATTTATTTGCAAGCTCTTGTGAGCTCATGGGACAGAAGCAGCCACTGGTGAATGTCACCTTGAAGAGTCATCCAGAATATTCTTGAGGTAGTGCGTACGTCTGCGAGGGCTGCTGAATCGAGGTACCGCCAGTTGTGTGGCTTAAACAGCAGAAATCTGCCTCACAGTTTCGAAGGGTAGAAGTCTCCGATCAAGGGGCGGGCAGGGGTTGCTTTGTTCTGAGGAACTTTCTCCTCGGCTTGTAGATGGCTGTCTTCTCCCTGTGGCTTTGTATCATCTTCCTTCCGTGCGTCTGTGTCCACATTTTCTCTTTTCACCAAATATGATCAGGTGAGCACCTCCACTAACGACCTCACTTTACCTCGATTACCTTTGTGAAGACCTGGGTCCAAATAAGGTCACATTCTGAGGTCCTGGGCATCAGGACTCCAGCATACGCAGTTTGGGAGACATGCTTCAACCCGTAACAGCAACAACAGTACAATGGAGGATAATGTGGAAATTTTTGGAAGGCTCGTGGCAGACAAGATTCTCAGCTGCTGGGGAGGCTAGTGTTCTAGACATTCTCATACTTTCTCACGTTCATAGTCATTCTTTGGACAGATGCAGGCGCGGACTCACGGTTTGTTACCACGGGTTTGATCTAGGACAGCGAACTCATTTACCTGCTCACTTTTTTTTTTTTTTTTTTAACCTGCTCACTTCTAAGGGAGGATGTTTCAGAGATCAGTGTAAAAAGAGATTTTGTCACTGTGATTACATTTAAATCGATTTTTCCCCCCTAAGAGTTTATAGCCTGAAGGCTTGCCTTGTTTTTAAGTTTATTTCAGTTGCTGAAAAATAAATACCTGAAAAAAAATTTTTTTTTTCCCTTTGGTTCTAGATTTAAAAGGAATTGTATTTGTCATCCAGAGTCAAAGTAATTCTTTTCATGCAAAGAGAGCAGAACAGTTAAAACAAAGCATCTTAAAGCAAGCGGCAAATCTTACACAGGTAGGTAGTGATGGCTGGGATGTCTGCTCCTTACTTCTTTGTTGATACATTTGTGTTTTCCAAAGTACTCCATCTATAGAGAATTAGTTTCATTCAGATGAAAATAACTCGTCTGACTTGTTTTGCCTATTTAATATTGACTGGTGTTTAAAATGCCCTAGTTAATTCCTAATGCTCCAAGCATCATCTTCTAAATTTTTCTGATTTTGTTAAATTTAAGAGACTTCTGTAATTGTGTAGGACTGTTGTGGTTTTGCCATAAAGTATGAGAAAAAGAAGTGGAAGGAGTAACATTTTAAAAGCAGGGCTTGGGGCGCCTGGGTGGCGCAGTCGGTTAAGCGTCCGACTTCAGCCAGGTCACGATCTCGCGGTCCGTGAGTTCGAGCCCCGCGTCAGGCTCTGGGCTGATGGCTCGGAGCCTGGAGCCTGTTTCCGATTCTGTGTCTCCCTCTCTCTCTGCCCCTCCCCCGTTCATGCTCTGTCTCTCTCTGTCCCAAAAATAAATAAAAAACGTTGAAAAAAAAATTTTAAAAGCAGGGCTTAAAATAGCAGAGATAATTAATGTTCAAAATTTTAGTACCAGGTTCTAAGGCAATTTTCATGTTGAAGTAACATTTTCATTAACCTTAGTGTGATGTTTCCTCCGTGAGTCTCTTAATCTCTTTTTTTAATTGGATATCATTAATTGAGCCTTTGAGTTGATTTGTACTGTAATATCCAAGAAGGATTAAGAAGAGAAAGATCGACCCATGCAGGTACATTTTAATAGTATTTAAAATAGGCATGAACTGAATCTAAAGCTGTTACGAGTAATGCTGGCAGGTTGAGTAAAGGAAGGAAGACCTACCTTCTTCTCTTCCCACAGAGGCGCTTTCTTCTTTAGCTGAGCAAAAAAAAAAAAAAAAAAAAAAAAAAAAGAAAAAAAAGAAAAAAAAAATTCCTCCAAGCCTACTCGCCACACTGCATTACCATGGCCTTCAAGACAGAAGTGCTTGTCTGTAGATAAATGCCATCCCTCAGCTCTCTCGGCATCGCTTTGACGGGAAATGTGCTTTCTTTCTGTTGGTGGGTGCTGGGATAAATAAAGGATTGGAAATATCAATGGAAAAATTAGCAGCCTTAATGGGATTCAAGGCAGAGACGCTGCTGAGAATAAGGTTTAGTTGTGCTTAATCTTTAAATGCTTTACATATACAGTTCAACCTCCCAGCATCCTCGTGGGGACGGGTCCTTTGTTTCCCTACTTGGAGCATTGTACCTTCTCGAGGGAGACAAAGACTTACGTGCCAAAAGCAGATTGTTTTTTTTTTTTTTTTGGTAACTGGCTCTAGGAGCAGCTTGATGCGTTTAAAATTCTTCCTTGTCTGGAAACCCAACTTTTGGAGATTTTCTTCTACTAAACCTTGTCTGATTTCATCAGAGAGGCAGACGTGCGGCAACCTCGACCGGTCTTCCGTTCGCTCTGGTAAAGGCAGAGTGGAGCTGCTAAGCCAAGGCCGCAGCGGGGAGGATGGGGAATCGGTAGCCTGAATAATCCCTCACTTGGGTCCAGGCAGGCGTTAATGGAATTTTGCTCAGTCGGGCCTTGGCAGTTACCCCAAATCGTGGAAGCAGTGATGACATCAGGACAGAGTTATGTGTGGCTTACTCATATATGAATTAAGAGCATGTGTATCCCTACGTGCCCGTAGGTGTCCTTGCTCTCAGAAATACCTTCCCTCTTACAGAGGCAGAGTCATGTGGTTTAGATTCTGTGTCTCCCCCATTTACTCCAGGTGATTCGGCTTTTGCTTCCTCCGCCGCACCTTAAACCTAGAGGGCAGGTCAACATAGGGCAGTTGAATCGAATCCAGAGGAAATTGAACAAATTAAGATTAAAACTTACTTTAAGTAGATTATGTTACCCGTTTGAACATTTTTTTTGTTAATTCTTAAATTGATAGTGGTCAAAACCCCTCTCCTATTAACTAGAATAGCTATTTGACCTCTCCCAGTGAAACTAGAGTGTAGGGAAATGAATAAAGAAATGGAGTCTGAGTTGGGGCTAGGAAAATGTGATCTCATGGGTGAGTGAGTCTTTGAGGGACCACATGGAAGAGAAGAAGAAAATTCACTGGACTGCTTTAACACAGACAACATGGCCATGGTTTAAGGGAGGTGGAGATGCACTTCCCCTCACGAATGGTTGGGTTAGTGGGTGGGCTGGGGGTGGGCAGCTCAGCTCCAGATTCCTTCTGTTTTCTTATTTTCCCATGGGGCTGGGGTGTCTTGTCCTCCCTGGCATGGTTGGAACTGATTTACCCCCACTACGTTCACATTCCAGGGTGTGGAGGACAACCAGTTTCCTTTTAGGGATGTGACCTTGAAGTTGTACACATCATTTCCCCTACATACCATTGTCCAGGACATAATCACATGGCACACTGAGGCTGGAAAGGGTAATATCTAGTTGGTGGCCTTTGGGTCCACTCAAAACTCAAGGAGCTCTAATCACTAAAAGGAAGAAGAGACAAAGTGACATCTCCACTAAAGTCAGGATTTTGTTTACACATCAAGGACTCACATTCCAGCATCGTGCCTACAGCTGGCAGTACTCCGTCCTACGCTTAAAAGTTGTAAGAGCCCAGAGCCCGTGTTAAGTGTTCTTTCCACACAGCATGATAAAAACAAGTAAATGAAAAATTAGGTACTAGTGTGGTTAAGCAGGGGGAGAGGGAGCCGGGAGGCTTTCTCTGTCGACAGCCAGCTCAAGGCAGCAGCGTGTTGTGCAGGAGGTGGGCAGTGTGGGTGCCAACCTGGAAGGTCAGGTAGGGACCACAGAGGAGCTGTGTGTCCTGTTAAGGACCGAGACCTTTCTCAGGACCTCTCAGGATGCCCTCTGGGCATTTGAGAAGTGTTTCTTAGAGATCCAAGACATGACAGCACATGCAGGAGGAGCCCGCAGTCACTGTTACTGAAAGCACCCCCCGGGGGGAACATGACTGGTAGGGAGAGCCATTAGGCTCAACCCGTTGGGTCTGCGTTTAAAGCCGTCACTCTGGTGGTTGTGAGGAAGGCAGCTGAGCAGACCCAAGACCGGGGCAAGGAGCCTAATCTAAGGTCCTTGGACCCATCCAAGCTAACGTGGCCCGAAATGGGGGTGTAGACCGCTGCTGGTGCTTTGTCACAGGCAGTTTGGGAAGTGCCGGGCCGGGGGTGAGGAGTGGAGCTGGGGGGAGTGGGGGAAGTAGGGGGTGATTTGAAGCCACACCCGGGGAGTTTGGGCGAAGGCCTCAGGGGGCATCAGGACCAGTGCCCCGCTAGGTCTGGTGTGGAGGGACGGAGCTACCATCTGAGGTGGAGGATGGGATTGGCAGGTTTGCAGGGTGCAGATGACTTCCGGTTGCTATAGATGAAGTCTTAGGTGGAGGTGTCAGCTGCCCGAGCCTGGATTTTGTTCGCTTTAAACTCAGGAGAAACCTTTGACCCGAAGGTGGTGGATTTGGAATCGGGAACGTGCCCAGGTAGTAGCTGAAAGCCTGAGGGTGCTGCTTTCAGGGGAGCAGTGGGAGCCTGGGAAAAACCAGGATCTGGGGGCCTGGCAGAGTGGGAGCAGTTTCTGGGGAGACAGAAGGGGTGCGTGAAACACAGAGAAGGTGCGTTGTCTGATGTCAGGGAACCTGAAGGAATAGCCTTTCAAACAGCGATCAATACTACTATCCTGTTCCCAAGACAGAGCTTGTAAGAGAGGGTCTCAAAATGTCCATTTCACTGGGTTCGTCTTGTGCGCCTGTCCTGCCTGCGCGCTTACCTCGGGAGGCATCCACACCCAGAGTGCTTTGCTGTCGCAGACGCTGTTGTTATGGTTATTCTTCATTGTGGTAAGAAAAAAAAAATAACATAAAATTTGCCCGCAGACGTTTTTTAAGTGCTGTAAAGTACATTCACGTTGTGTAACCAACTTCCAGAACTTTTGTCTTTCCAACGGAAACTTCATACCCGTTAAACAACAATTGTACATTTCCTTTTCCCTCACCTCTTGGCAACCACCTACTTCCGCTTTGTCTCTGTGAATCTGACTGCTCTATGTACCTCATATAAGTGGCATCTTACGGTATTTGTCTTTTTTTTTTTTTTTTTTTTTTTTTTTTTTTTTTTTTTTTTTACCGGCTTATTGTACTTAGTGTGGTAATGTTGTCAAGAGGTTCATCCATGTTGTAGCCTGTGACAGGGCCTCCTCCCTTTTAAGTTGCAGGCTCCACGCTCAGTGCGGAGCCCGACTTGGGGCTTGACCTCACGACTGTGAGATCACGAACTGAGCCAAAATCAGGAGTCAGGTGCTCGACCGACTGAGCCCCCCCAGGTGCCCCTGCCTCCTTTGTAAGGCGGAATATTATTATTGTTACTTTGACAGCCTCTCCTCCGTGTCTTCTCTGGTAACCTTGGTCTACCATGACGGCTGTTTTCATCCACAGGCACTACTTTCTGGGGTGCTCTTTTGGTATTCCGCATGGGCTCCCCCTCAGTGCCCTTTCTCCTCTCGGGCATCTGTCCTGCCTTCAGAATCTGGAGGGAGGCAAGACCTCTGTACCTCTTCTTGTCTCCCCCTGTGGCACCTAGCATAATTCCACACACCGACAGTGTTAGGAACTGTTATTTTCACGGATGCGTTTTTCTCAGCTTTTAAGGCTTAGAAAGCAGTTCCATTTCACTGAAGTGTATACCTCTTCTAGCACTTTAATTTATGCTTGTGTTTTCAGTTTGCTTATACTTAATTTTTATTGTCCTTCACGTTTACAATTTGCAGTTTTAGACATGTTTAGTAGGTGCCTTCGATTGCCACTAGGTGGCAATGTTGGTTTTACGTTTAAAGACCCGTAATTAAGCAACATCATTAAGCAAACCCTTCTTTTCCAGCATTTAATTTCTGTGATAATAAATGGAGTCTAGACTAAAGCAATAAAGAAGCTTCCCTTTAATTGTAAGGTAGTCTATTTTTCTTATTCTGAAACTCTTTCCTA